ACGTACAACAAGAGATTCGTAATCACTCTCCGGAATATTATATTTGTCTGAACTAAGATCGATTACTCCAATACATAGTGGTCGTCGTTTGATAATTCATCGACATCTATACTGCTTATTTTTGTGAAAATATGTTCATGTGGCGGTGTATCTTTCTTCTAATGAATCAAAAGGAGAATTAGTTTTATGGAAAGTTTCAAGTAATAAATAATTGATTACCTTGATTTTATCTTTCAAAATCGTTATACTATTTAAGGCTACAGCTTTCCAATCTACTCCTTCTTCGAATTTTCCTCGTAAGAACCCCATATCCTTTAATGATAACAGTTCGTTCCTAATAAATCGTATCTATAAAAACAAGAATGGGTTAATAAAATTCAGAGAAACATCATCATTTTTTACGTAAATACCCATCCTAATCAGAAATAGCCGGCGTTAGTGTCATAAATCATCATAATAAATATAATGAAAGAGATTCTCGCTGACAATATGTCGCTTTTTCAATCGCATTATACTTATTAATGTCTAGACGTCATATTCATCATTTATTCACTATTATATAAAGATTAAAGTGGTATAAATTACCTGGCTAACATTTTGCAACGATTTAAGATGCTGTTTACGTCCCTCATCAATGTCTTCACCTTCCATCTCTTTTAGGATCTTCGTGAGGCAGTCGAAATCTTCTTGTTCCGTTTGGATTTTAAAACAATTCCATTGTTGTGTAATTACATTAGACATGGTAATTTTATCTAGAGAACTGGTTCTTAAAAAGTTGCATAATGGAGCAAAGTTTTCTGCCGATGGGAATGTTGAGGTAGACATGTCAATTGTTAATATAAAAATTCTGTTAATATATCGATAACGCAAGTAATAGAATCACTATAAAAGCGACGAATAACCACAACGTAAATATACCGTCCTTTTAAAACGTTTCTCCGCTCATTTCTGATCTCATTTGGGTACGGGAATAGTAGCCGTTGTCCCATTGTCCTGCAATAGATTCTAGGGAATGTGCGGAGCGATGCAATGCACAACGAAAAAACTTTTCACAAAGAAAATACGTATGTCATGAGTTAGACAATCGGATTTGGAATTTGTGGCAACAATTAACGGGTTACACGATTACATCATGCATAAAAAGTTTAGTATCTATCGCGAGGAACTTTTATTCACAACAAGGCGCTCGCTAAAGTGCCAGTTTAGGCTGTTTTTATCTATC